CACAGGAATTTCCCTTGCTGAAATTGTGACCATTGCCCCTTGTTCTCTTAAACCATGACATAACTGGGGAAATGACATGGACTCAGGAGACTGTGCAAGTGAGGGAGAACCAAGTTCTGTTTCTGGTAGGAATTTGGCTTGTGCACAAATGACACTCTCCATTCACTTGCATCCCCAAAAGCCTCCCCTCCCCATGGCCTGTACATAATCTCTGCCTCCTACCAGGCTTAGAATAGGGAATTCTGATATTTTCTGAATAAGGGTGAGTAACTTGCACATAAGGTACAACATGTAACTGTCATCCCATCTTTCCATGTGTCTTACAAATAATTCTTTGTCAAAGTTTTGACAAGCATAATGTATTGATATTCTATTTATACTGCAAATCATTAATTTTAAGAGGTAACAAGCACTCTGCATATACAGTTGGTGAGGTAATTCTTTTGTAAAAACATAAAAGTTACAGTAATACTTAACCTTGGAAAATAGGTGCTAAAATGTTCTTTAAGAGATATTTGCATCTTCTTATGGAAATGAATGCTTTAGTCACACAAGTAATAACCACCAATCTGAAACAAGGAGACACCTTGTGCTTGCAAGCTATGCAGTGCTCATGAAAGCTTTGCAACCTCCTTAACGGAAGACAGTTTTTGCTTTCATTAAATACATACATATTATAACCCCAGTAAAAACAACCCAAAAGACATCAAACAACAGAAAAAAATACATCAAAATAACATTAAAGATCTAAAATAAATCCACAAAAGCCAGAAAATTCAGAGATAAAGAAAGACTTTTGGACAATGGAACACTTTGCAATGTATTAAACCAGAGCACAAATTCATTTCTTCTCTATGCTTGCCATCAAGTCATTCCAGATGCAGGGGCTAAGTTCCTCTGCGGGGTAACTCAAGTGCCTTCAGCAGTATACACCAAGAATCAGTTTGGCCCTACAGAACCATACTTTCTCTACTTCTGATAATTGCCATTGATTTGTGTTTAAACAGTAACTTCCCATTTACAGCTCATTTTTGCATTGTTCGGAGACTGCTATAAAACTGTATTTGTGAGATTGCAATACTTTCCATGATTACAGACTATGATGTCAGCTGTGGGGTTATGACTTCATTGACAGACCAACTAGAAGGAGAACCTCTGTGAGAAGGAGAAAATTCACACTCAAATGCAAATATATCTGAGATTAGCGAAGACAACACTGCATCTCACTGGGCGCAGACATTTCCATCTACATAAATAATATTCTCTACTTTTCACTCAAGTCAAGTATGAAAATGTCCCTTAAAAATTTCTGTTTCATTCATAAGTCATTCATGGTGCTGATGTGCTGCCACCCAAACTCAAGCTTGATGTCAGCAGCAGTTTAAATCATACACTGTGGTTCCAACTCTTTGCTGCACTCTCTGGAAGTGCAAAATCAGACATACAGCTTAAGACAGGATATGAAGGGAATGAAGTGCCTTTGAACTGCCTTCAAATTTCCCAAATTACCCTCATTCTCAAGGTAACATGGCTTTTGTGTCTGGGGTCTGTCTATTCCCTTCCGATAAGGTAAGATAACTATAATGAACTAGTTACAAGGAGATTGCCAGGTATCTGGCTAAGCAACAGGATTGAAAAAAAGGAGCATAACCTCTTGAGCTGTATCTTTCCACATCTAACCCAGGTACATAAGACAACTACCCTGAGCCTTGAGATACACAGAATAACTGCTGTAAACAAAAGAGCTTTACTCATCACTTTTTTTCTGAAAGAAGAAAAATTATTTATTCTTTCAGTTTCCTAAACTGCAAGAGGCAGAGGGGCTATGACTGACCCCACACGGGCAAGCAAAATAAGAGGTGGATAATTTAGGCACTCACCCTACACTGAAAACTCCTAATACCACCATATGGGACACAACTGAGCTGACAGCTGGTGAGATCAGATTCAGTCCAAGAACCTAGGAGTGAATATTTCCCACTGCTCCAAGTCTTACAGAGTCTTAGGCTCTTTATTCATTCTTTTTGCCTGTCTTCTACTCTTTACTGTAAGACTTTCTCAAATGTTACCTGAAATTTCTCATATTCTCATTTTTGTCTTGGACTAGATGTTTATTTTGCTAGATAGCTCCCAAATAAATCCAGTCAGACTCCTTTTTTAATTAAATAAATGCCCTTTTCATTTTTTCAACTGCCTTATCATGTTCAAATTATTCAAAACGAGAACTTTTTCAAAGTTTCTATCCATGACATTTATGTAGCCCTGAATAAGGAGAGCAGGTAAGATAAGTATTCCAACATTGACCCAGAGAAGACAAACAGAGAACGGAAGCAGCTATGTTCACCCCTGCTTCTATACTTGTGAAAAGTGTCTGGAATGCTCAGACCACAAAAGTGCAAAGAAAGGAAGGAATTCCTCCCCCCCCCTTTTTTTTTTTGTTTTAAGGTCACTAAAAACTTTTCTGATAACTAACAAGCCAACAAAAATCAGGAAGATAAATAAATCACCAGAGTTCTGCCTCCCAGTTATGATTACGCTCAAGATAATGGCTTTTGGGGATGTGAAGGAAGGTGTGCAGAGCTTTGAAATGCACAAAGCTTGTTCTGGGACGTTACTTAATTACTATTCGAAATTTTAATCATGCAAAGAAAACCACAATGATTTATAATTATGCAAAAAGATCATGATGACTCTAACTTCTCCCTTATATACCTTTCTTAGTGATTTGGCACAACGGAATTATCAACCTCTTTCTTGGAAACCAGTGGTTTCTGGTTTGCCTACAGAGGTTCTGAGACCTTCTACTTCCTGAAATGAGCAATGAAAGATATAAAGTAGCTTTCTGCTTGGAGCAAAATTATTATTAAGGATATAACTTTGAAACGTTTCTGTGCTCATGTGTGACCTTCAGTTATAATGTAATTTCTCTTTGTTGTTCTCTGTGCAGTGGATATTGTCTTTACCTAAGGAATTTATTCTAGTTGAAACAAAAAGTACAATGTACCAAACCTTCTCCCTCAAGATATACTGTAGATTAAAGGGCAAATTCTTTCCCTTACTCAAAATCATAATCAGTGGCTTTTTGTTAGCATAACTAAGAAAAGGTTTCCAATTTATATATCACCATTTACAAGTCCTTGGAGACAAAAAACCTGACTTCAATCAAGTAAGCTGGAGCCTCGCTATTGGATTCACTTCGATGGAGTCACTCCTTTACACAGATTCACCTTTAAAAGAATTTGTTTCAGTAGTAATACACCATCTGTATATGCCTACCTACGAACACAACTGAGTATATCCTTAATGAAAGTTATACACATGGAAAAAACAAGATAATTCAGGAATTTCCAAAACCCCATCTTTGTGTATCTTTGAAAAATTTGCTGAAGGTTACAGTACAGAGGTGTCCATATCCCACTTTTCAAACAGTCCACAGAAATGATTAAAAAAAAAATCTACTTTTAAGAAGAATTACTGTTTATATGGCATACAAGTTTGCTTTATGAATAAAAAGTTTCAAAAAAAATCTTCTCTCTGTATCTCTGTACAAGTCTACTCCACCTGTTACTCCTGCAGTGACTGCTCAAAACTTACTGACATTAATAACAAATTTATCATAATCACAGATCGATTCAAATATTATTCTTGTTATGTGAGAGTCACCATTAAGTTTCTGTTGAACATGTATAGATCTTCTTCCTCGAACTACCTCGATTTTGTGCAAACATGGCTACTTGCACAATTTATAGAGCATGTAATGAAGCAGCAGACACACTAATGTCATGTGTCACTGGCAGACCATTTGTCTGTCTACCCATCTTGATCACACTTACTTGTAAAGCTTGACAAAACAATTGCTTGAATGGTTATTCCTGACCTGAATGGGAAATTTGCAGAAGTACCTTGAAAACTGCATACACTTCTCTGAATAGCTTATGAATGTTAATGGATGTTAACGAATGAAAGAGCGCATGCCACATCAGAGAAAGCCTTGTTTCCTCTACATTTTTAATACTGTGATCCAAGTACTGTATATACTTTGTCAATTGTGTGAGTTGCTTTTTCCAAGACCTGAACAGACAATTGTATGTGAAAGGAGAGCTCCCAAGCAGATTTCTCAAGGCGTTTAGTATCATTAACAGGAAACAATGCAGCAGGAGCAGCCAGAGCCTGAATGAGTTCTGTGTGAACACTAAGGAAACCCCAAGAACACATTAACACAATGCAACTTTGATAAGATTGTAATAGTGAAGCTCACATACGTGTTTGTATTACATCTTGTAAAAGGCTTCAATTGCTGTCTATTAAGATAATTGATATAACAGTCAAAAAGGATTAGGGTAATAAATTAGGTAAAGATATGATTTCTGTGGTATACAGGAACTACCAGTCTGTTTTTAAGCTCTCAGCAGTTACTCTGAACAGACAGGATGTAAAAATCCTACATTGTGCCAATTCACTGATAATCTTAGAGGCTCCAAAACAGAGACTGCCACTATTGGCCAATCATTTTCAATCAAAACAAACGAATCTCTGCAGACCAGACACCATTCCCCGATACTAATACAGATACACAAGTAGTACATTACATAAAATTTAATTTATCAGCACTATTATTTAAATGATCATAAGTAACACCAAAGTGTAACCCTGCAGTTCCACGGTTCAACAGCTGTCAGGATTGACAGACTAGAATAAAACAAACTGAAAATAGAGAGTTTAAAGAAGTAAAAAGAAAAAGCAGAATAAAGACATACATATTCATTACTAATCTCCTAAAACCGCTATGGAAACAGCACATATACAGATATATAACTGAACTGACAATAAAACCCCCCAAAACTCTACAATACTTGCAATAATAACAGAGAGTACAATTTGAAACGGTAAAAGAAGGAATTAAAATCACATGCAAATAGACTGCAGCAAGCTGTTGCCAGCAAAATTCTAGCATCCATGCTATAAAACACACAAATAACTGTCGTGGGGTACCTGTCGTGAGGTCTTGGTCCGAGGGGAAAAGAAGGACACACAAGACACACGAGGATGGTGAGACAAGAGATGTCTGCCTGCTCAGCGTGGCAGGCAGCCTTTTATTGAGCTAACTAACTTCACACACAACACAAACATATTCCTACAACATCCAGGAATCCAGCACCTGCACATTATCAAACCGTCTTAACCTTGTACTCCCTGCAACCCAAGGCCGTGTCCATGGAAACCATCTAACCAGCTCCACTGCTCCCACGGAACACGGCCTAACTTTTGCACTACCTCAAACTCTAATTGTGGGGCTTCCCCCCACAAATAACATCTTATGTTTGTGGAGATTTCACTAGCACGAGCTTTGATCCATCTATTCCCCGTAACTGTCTATCCCTGGAAGTTTCTCAGTTGCCTAGTATTTTCTTACTTAACCTTTAAGCCCTCTGCAGACTGAAGTTTAATTAGCTGAACATGCTCAAAAGTATTAGTCTCAGGTAGAAAGCTTTACCTTCTCACTAAAATGTAATTGCATTTCAAGTTTCAATTGACAGCCACCCAAAATCTAGCTCCATCCCTGGAGAAACCTTCAGAGCTACATAAGGACAGGACAGAGCACAGCACCGTTCATAGCGCTCATGTGCAACCTGGCCATAAGCATCTCTGAGCAAGACTGCTCGCAGGGGGTATGTCTATTAGTAAACATGACGAAGATTTAAATCCACACCTCCTATACAAGTGTCCTAATCATAAACTCCTGAGTCTTCCTGGATGAGAAGCATTCTCCAGCCCTTCTCTTGAAGCTGAAATGCAATGCAGAGAAGCAGCTCCAAAACAAAAACAAGAAAAAAAGTGGTATCTTTTGAGCACTAGTTAAGGTCAGTTTTCAAATTGAGACAGAAGTGAGTTCCAGGCCATCTTCTCCAATGTCTGCATTTTAAATCACACAAAAAGCTGCCCTGGAGATGTCATCTCAGATTTTTACATGGACAGGTTTCCTCTTGTTTTCTTTGTCTCCCACGTGGTTCCACTACTTTTAACTCCATTGTTGACTAGAAGCCCTGGGTCTAAAGAGTTGTCACCCAGACCAGCTCATGGCACATCACTTCTCTCGGCACACAGGTTCAGCCCCAGTTGAGTAGTATCTATGGTCTCTCAGTGCTTCAGTTATTATGCTATTATACTAAAGATGGACTTACAGTCCTCCTCACAAATTGTCCATCCTTATGATAGGGCTAAGCAAATTGGTCCTGAGTAGTACGAAGGGAAGTGACACACTTCTGTTTCCCCATACACTGAGTGGAGGGGTGGATGCATTAATTCCACGTAAACTCAGTGGACCACCTGGTAGAGAGGAGGAAGCACATAATCTAAGGGAATGGATCCTTCTCTGCAGTCCTTCTAAGGCACCTATGTCAAGCACTGATTGTATAAAAACTAAGTAAGAATGGGGTTTGTCCCATAGATTATATCATGCATTCCCTTCCATGACAGGCTCCTAAAATCCCGGTGAGGCAGGCTGTAACTTGGGTGTAATGGATTTCCCACAATGTCAGGCTATGAAAGAAAAGGGATGAAATCCAGAGATGTGTGTGTTTGGGAAAAAAACCCACCTTCTCCTCCTGTCAGCACAGGTTGGTCAGTGGCTGCCCTTGTGGGGCAGCAAGATTTCCTTTTTAAAATGAAATCACCACAGCATCAAAACAACCGAGAAGAAGTCTTCCTGCCTTACTGTATTACGAAGAAGGAAATCATATCCCACCAACAGCCTCCAGTAACAGCAAGGCTGATTAGCATCTTCTGTGCAACCAGAACCATTCTGAACAATAAGCAATAAAAGAATGCAAAACAAACAGTGACATCAGCATTATCAGCCTCTACTCCACAATTACTTGCTTCTCAACATAGGCTTTGTCATTCAGCCTGTCATCTTCCCAGGCCGCCCTGGTTTTAGTTGCGGGCTTCCCCCAAGACCGAAAATATCTGGATTCTCTTGGATCTGAAAAGATCTTGTCACTACTGCAGCTTTAAACCATTAAACTGCATATCCCAATCTGACTATTTAAGCAATGCAGCTTATGAAGTCACAATTTTCAAATATTAGGGTCTTGTCCCTCTATTTTATTTTGGTTTTCTTTTGCAGTCTGATGAATATCTCACATAGGCCTTGAGACAGAAGAACAGGTATACTTGCAAATGCTATTGTAAACTATGCTTCATTTGTATTTTAAACTGGAACTAGCAGAAAAGAAATTCAAATCAGCACAGCCAAAAAAAAAGTTTTTTTTCCTCACTCAATGTTGCGTGCTATAGAATTAGAAGACAACTCCTTATGAGGATATTTTGCAGCTATTTACTGAAAGAAGCCCACTTTCTTGTTGAGAATCTAGCCTCATACCTAAAATGTAATACTGAACTGTAATTTGAAGTGAGGCTTAGTCCTAGGATTTAAGGAAGAAGAAATAACAATACTTGCACTTAAAGCATATAATTACTTCCATTCAAACACCTGAAAGTACTCTCCAAATATTAATTATCACAGTACTAGCCTCCCCCCAACCCTTCTAAGAGAGGATCAACTGTGCATTCCTCTGGTATCCACATCACCTGTTTGGGTCTGTAAAGAATGCAGAATGAAGCCAAAAGTATTACCCCTCTAATTATTATGGTAAGTCTTAATCGATGGGAGTAAATTCACCCACACAGGGACAAAAATGTGATATTTTCCTGTAAGCTACTGCACTACAGGGGCCTGCAGTATAACACAGAATTAAATTAAATGGTATTAAATAAGATGCACAATTTGTCAGAAATTATAAGGAAACCTAGTAGTCTTGACTCTGAATCTTCTGTCCTGGATTACATGTTAAATCACAGGTTTTCATTCCCTCTGCAGCACTACCTTTTAAGAGGACAGGGAACAGAAATACCATCTCTGGATGAGGTGACTTGGAATGGCCCTGTCCCGTAACTTTAGCTCAGGTCAGCTAATGCTGAATAGAAAAGTAACCATATTTAAAATATTCAAGGAACCAAGCACCTTGGTTTTGTGACTGCGTTTGTCATTTAATCAATTGGTATTGGACTTCTGTGTAATCAAGGTACTAAGAAGAGAGAATACCATCGATATGCATCAAATACCTTTCAGGCTTATATTTGGGATTGGTTCAAAACCCTCATGGTCCTAAATCTCTTCATTCTATCCTGTATACAGAATCATACAATCACAGAATTGTTTAGGTTGGAAAAGACCTCTAAGATCATCAAGTCCAACCATTAATCCAGCACTGCCAAGTCAACCACTAAACCATGTCCTTAAAGCATCACAGCTACACATCTTTCAAATATCTCCAGGGAGGATTTTAAATAGCTTACTCCTACCCCTCATTGCCCACCAGCTGGACTTATGCTAGAGATACCAAAATACTCACACCTGAGTTTACAGAAACAGGTAAAAAAATCATATATGGGTTTAAGATACAGGATTGAAAAGTGTGTTTCCCTCCCTCCCTCATCCAACCTGTTCTCAAGCAAGCTTTACTGGAGGAGGATGGCCTCGAGCTGAAGGCACAGGGCAGGCTGCCAGGAAATCTGAGTTCTATTCCTGGCTCTCCCAGAGATTTCCTTGGGCAAGGCAATTAACCTTGTGGAGTACACTTTCAATGGAGGTGGGGCTCAGCTTCTCTTTTTGCATTCATAGCGTTTTCAATGGTGCAAATGGAATTGTAGGAGCAAGAATGAGTGCCTGTACTTTTCACAACCTGGTATGTTTTCTCTGTCAGGTATTCAGATGCACAATTGCCAATAACTGCTACTGAAAAAAGCCCTAAGAATTCAAAAATCGCAGGTGCAAAAAAGCCTCCTGATGTTGCTGTGAACAGCCTCAGTGCTCAGTTTCCTCCTATGTAAAATGGGCAATGATGCTTATGAAGTCAAAGTATATAGCCAAACAGAAAACTAATTTCTAGAGTCCTTGAACATCTGTTATCTGAGATCATAAAAAGGAAATAGCTCAGAATTTCAGTTTGCCTTTCACTAGAGATGCTCTAATGTTACTTTCTGCATTTTTTGCCTGTTAAAATTTCCTCTCTGGACCTCAAACAGAATAAAATATTTTCCTTTAAGGAGTCTGAAATGTCAGCTGAAGTAAAAATATTTTTTACTTAAACTGGTATCTTTTAATATACGTTAACCGAAGTGGAAGTGAACTAGAGAATGAGTGAAATATCCTTTTGGTAGTATACATGCGTTTTATAAAATAAATATCATGGCTAAATTTTCTGTTGTAGTCTCCTTCAAATAAATGGTGCCACATCTATTTATACCAACAAGGAACAGGACTCTGAAATTCCAAGGAAGGACACTATTTCTTTAGACAAGCTTCTAAAGAAATGAAGACACATACCTCTCTGAACACTGGTGAGACAGAACATATTTTTAGTGACTTTTTTAATGCATTTGGTGCAAGCATGTAAGATGTTTTTTTTTCCTTTCCTAGAATGGTGAATAGAAAAAAAACCACAAAAGCAAACAAAAAAATGGCAAAAAAAAAGAGCATCTGTTAGTCATAGGAGAAAAGTTCAACAACCAATGCTTTTGTCAAAATTTTCAGGTTTTGAGAGATGATTTTTTTTACAGATCATCTCAACTGGAAAGTAAATTTATAGGTATAAAGCTTTTAAGGCTTTCAATTCATGTCCTTCATCCACTTCTTAAGTTTAGGAATTTTAAAGGAGAGAGGTCAATAGTCTGTTTTTCATAATTATAAAAGCCCCTTCAGGCTCTTTAGACAACTGAAACAACAAACCCTCTCAGGTGATTTTCTTGCCCACACAGATGTAAAACATGTTCAAGAAAGAAGGTATTTTATATTACCAAGTTACAAAATAGTATCTATGACCTTCACAAAGGAGCTAAGACAGTTTAGAAGATTAAATTAACAGCAACATATGCAAATTTTTAAGACATGCTTCACACGAAGCAGTAACACCTCTCATATTGTGGTCAAAATTTGTAAAGACTCAAAGTAACTCAAAGTGACGTTATTCTTCCTCGTACAACTAACTTAACTTCTATTTGTACTATCTTCTATAATTACAATTGTAATTTCTACAATTACATAAATAGTAACTTTTTCATTCAGCATCCAATACACGTGACTTCAGTTTTACCTCAGTCATGGTTTGTTCCAAATTGACCAGGTAGTAACTAATTTAAACATTTTATTTTCTAGGTTGTCTTCCATAATGTCAAAAGATTGCTATCTCCAGATGAGAATTCACTACAACTATAACAAAGCCTTCTTTAGGGCAGCATGAACTATCATCTCAGAACATCCTTCTCCCTCTCTACCACCCAGTGAAGAAGCACCTCCTAGACCATGACTTCATATAAGACAAAAATGACTGCACTGCATGAGAAATAAGAAAAATTAGTTAAATGGCTTTACATCACAGAGTATGTCACTACAGACATAAACTTGACTTAGAAAGTTGACTTTGGTATGCAAAGGCTCAATATGGCCAAGAAATATCGTCAAAACATTGATCAGTTCTCTGAGGCAACAGGATTCTCTTGATATGTATTTCTTCAAAATTCAGAAATTTTCAAAATCTTACAAGTTAATGAGTATTAGGAGTCCTTGCCCTGACACAGGCCTTTTGGAACTGCTGGCATAGAAACATCTTGCCAATTCCATGTTTAAGGTTTGATATCTCATCTATGTCAAAATTGCACTGGGAAATAACCTGAAGAAAAATTTATTATAAAAAAAGCATTTTTGTAATGATTTTTTAAATGTGGTTTGGCACTGCTTAAACTGACTTTCTGTATAAAGTGAAATTCTGCCCTCATTGAAAAAGAAAGCTTCAAAAATTACTATAATCATAGAATGATTTGGGTTGGAAGAGACATGGAAGATCATCTAGTTCCAACACCCCTGCCATGGTCATGGACACCCTTGACCAGACTAGGTTGCTCAGAGCCCTATCCAACTCGGCCTTGAACACTCCCAGGGATGGGGCATCCACAGCTTCTCTGAGCAACCTGTTCCAGTGTCTCACAACCCCCACAGTAAAGGATTTCTTCCCAATACCTAACACCCTCTTCCAGTTGAAAGGCATTCCCCCTTGTCCTATTGCTACAGGCCCTTGCAAAAAGTCTGTCTCTGGCTCTTTTGTAGCCCCCTTTAGGTACTGAAGGCTGCTCTAAGCTCTGCTCAAAGGCTTCTCTTCTGTAGGCTCTCAGCTTGTCTAGATGATTGTGACTGGATCAGATTAAGCCTCTGCTTAAGAAAATTAAGTTAATTTCTGATTATCTTTTATCTTCTACCAACCTGAAATGTGCTATATATACTATCTACCAGAAAACAAAATTATTGAAAGAGAGAGAAGTTGTCTGATCAAGTCACAGTTGTTACTTAGGCATCAGTGAAGCGATGCACAAGTGGATACTACACACACATACTGCATATCACTGGTCAAGAAAGTCACTATCTTCTGCTGTCAAAATTATGCAGATCCTATATCTTCATCTATCCATCCTTTAAAACAGCTACATGGCATGGCATCAGCCATCTCTCCTTCTCACCAAAGTCCTGCTCAAGGCTATAAAAACTCTGGACTGTTCCTTGGAGGTTTGGAGCAATTGTGCTATGCCATGCAGAGAGCCTGTGGCTCAGTTTAAACAATGTGGAAATGCCCAAAAATTCTACCTAAAGACATAACTCCAACACTGTAAATTAAAAACAAATACTCTTTTAAGCATCAACTTCAGAACTAGGTTTCAGGTTTCTCCATTAAACTGATGCCTGAGAACACTAGAAGCCTATGAGATTTCCAGAGCTTTTAGATGCAGTTCTTTGGAACAAACAGCAAAGTAATCGATTACTTAGTCTCCCGATCTACTCATAAACTTTCAGCCCCTTGCTTTCAGTGAAATTATAGGCATACACAAATTAAATAAATAAAATAAAAAAACTTTGATGGCTCTTTACAAAGGGTTATGTGAACCCATGAGCAAAACTGTTGCTGATTTCACGAGCAGCAGCATCAGACCTCAGTAGCAAACACCTGGCAGTGATGAAGTCAATGACAAACCCTTCACTGACTTTTGGGAATGTGAATCTCCATGGCTATGAATTTGACTTTATGCCTGTGCTACATAAAATAATTCTGCTAATAAAAACCAGATTGCTTCATAGCCTTTTTCAACCATCAAAGGCTATAGTCTACAATATGGACCACAGGAGATAAAAAGGCTGGTGCTGAGGACCTAAAGTTCCACACTGTGCACCTTTCAAGAGGTTTTTATTTCACTCTACCCTAGTTCTACGGGTTGAATGTCTACCAGACTGCATTTCTGCAGCACATCTTCCAATTTTGTTTCATTTGAAAGTAGTCCGGCCAACAAGCTCTGGGACTGCTACACAATGCATACAGTAAGTGGGGAAAATTAGGAGATGAATTTCCAAAGCACACTCATGACTTGACCTAACGCAATAATGCAGATACATCCAAAGAGCCCAGAACATATTAGTGCAACAAAACGTCTAAAATTAAGGAGTACCAAGGTCCCCATGAAGAGGGTTAATAGATAATAGGACTCAGCCTTCAGTGCATTTCACGTGTGCAGCAACCTACAGTGAAGATCAGTTTTAAAGCAGCAGGCACTGTGTTTCTTCCAAATAGGTTCATTTCCCACGTACGTGACCTTGTTATCTTCAGGACTTTTATTCAATTAGCTCTCCACATTTAGAAGGCTTTTCTATGTAGCTGAATATTTTATTTTCAGAAGATTTTGTTGATCTTTACTATCTTTTCTATTGTCTTCTTTCCTTTGACAACTTTGCAAAGTACACATTATTGCATTAAAAAGATCATCTGATGTCTCATATGCTTGCGATAAATTGGGATCCTTGCCCTCTTCACTTGGGCTCTCCCTCCCCCTTCTCAGTTTTATACTAGTCAAAAAAGATTCACTTCTCTTCTAAAAAATAATACATAAATAAATATACTGTGAGTCACAAACATTAAATACTTAATTTGAACCAGCAGAAAGACCAGCTACTGAAATTCTACAGTGGTCTGTTAGCTCATATGTCTCTGCATGTGCATATTGAAGGAAACAGCAGAAATAATACTTTACAATTTGATGAACAACATGTGACACAGAACCTCTAGACTCTCAAAAAAAGGGTTACAAACTTAGGAAAATACCTGCCACGTAAAATTCTGCCCTCTCCAATAAAAAAAAAAACAAACCACCTACATACTCCTTACTTTCGCTAATACTGAACTGTCATCATTGAGGCTTGATACACAAATAAATTGGATTAAGAAGAATATAATCATTAATTCAACTGAAGTATGGGTGATAAAAAGTGACATTTTCAGAGTACATGTTGGGTGTCTAAACAGAAAGGATGATTCTGTACCATCTGCTTTTGGGCAGAATCGTCCTCTGATTTCAAATATAAACTTTGCTTATAGCTGGCACCATGGTGGCTTATAATAATTTAACCACATTTCTTTTTGGAGGAAAATATAACATCACTCTTCATTTTGTCATGCACAGAGAAGGAACCCATGAACTGAACTTATACTGGAAAGAGAGAATAAAGAGAAGAGGGAGAAAGCATATTTGATTATCATGGTCTGTAGAATTATCTCAATGCAAGCTGCAGATAGGAGCATTGTCTCCGAAAATCACAAGAAGCAATCATATAGTTGGAATAAGAAAATAAAAAGACTACACTTTCAACAGGCACAACAGCAAAGTAATACCGAGTTTTAAAATACACATTAGTTTCAAAAAAATGAACAAAATTGTTGTAGGTATTGGTCTCACAGTAAAGTAATGCACACATCTACTAGATAACTAGTAATTCCCATTTCTGCAAATCAGATTCCTAACCTGACAAACAGCCCATTCCATACTGAATGCTCCACTGACACTGCCCATTCTTTCTTCCCCATGAAGATACAAACATAAAAGGGAAACATTCTAGCCTACAAGATGCTACAAGCGCTATATTTAGCCCTTTTCACTGAAAACTCACCTTAGTTTCTGACTATGAGTGCTTGGAAGAGAAAAATCTTTTTAACACTTTAGACTGCTGCCTTTTCCCTCTTCCCCAAACCATTTAACCATTCCTATTCACCTGTCACACATTCCTAATTCAGTGGGGATGGCCTGCCTGTTATAAATTATTTACTCTTATAGACCAGAGTCTGTTTTCCCTGGGATTGCACCCAAGGTGAAGATCAAGCAAGCAACACTCAGCATCCACATGTGCAAGGTTTGAGCCAGACAGGAGGAAGCGGACAGGAACTGATCCCTGTTTTACTGCACTTGGCATTTGCCTTCTGCAAGCTGCTTACGAGAGGATCACCAGCACAGGTATGTTTCGATACACCATCATTTTTTCTAATGCCAGTGAGCTTCTTCATATACCTGAAAACTGCCTGACTTGAAAACTACAGGTATAAGCAACTCATTTAGTATGCAGTGGTCTGTTTTCTCCAAAGAAATATCCTGGGGTACGTTATCATTGGACAACACTAGGTCTTAAAGTGACTGTTAAAGCCAACTTTCCTGTGTTCAGCTGCTGATACTATTGAGAACCTCAGCTGTAGTTTTCAGTACCTTCTGGTGTCGTTTGAGCTTTTCCAAGCATATACTTTTACAGCTCTGTAAAAGCTATGCAAAAGGACTGAACAAAATGAGGGGGAAATGACAGGACTGCAGAGAGGAAAGAGAATGCAGAGTGAAATAAGGGATTAAAATTGAGAGGGTGGGAGTGGATTTGAAAAAGAAGTTTAAAAAAGAATGTTGACCAGCTAAAGGGAAAGGGGACTGGAAAAAGGAAATCAGAAATGTTAACTTGTGATGGAGCACACAGCCATACCTTTGTATCTTCTAATACCCAATCATGTTTTCCAAGTGACATCCCAATCACTTTTCTTATGAAAGCCCATGCATAAGTAAAAGACGTGGAGATGAGAGCTGCGCTAAGCAGACTCTCATTAGCTGTAAACATCAGTGAAAACACAGAATTTCAAGTTTCCAAGACAGAAATATTTCCACGGTCAAAGAATAAAAACACATGTCTCTGATAGACACATCTACAGACTAAATGGGGCCAGGGAAAGTGGAAACTTTTAATGAAATGTATTACCAGTCACTACAAATATATGAGGCATGAAAACAGCTCTGAATGGAAAAAATAAATTCTAAGTGCAAGTATCCTGTTGTTCATCTGTACTCGTTCTTGCTGGATTTAAGGAAAATATGCATGTTTCCAGGCAAGGTAGGACAAAGATATTTTGGGTTTAAACATTATCTTGTGCACACTACATCTGAATCTTATCACCTTCTGATGTCTGATAGTGCTCCTTTAACCTTTGTTACTCAATTACTGAACAAGTTATCTCATTGTTACTCTCTTTTGAAGGAAGAGTTGTGCCTCTTTTCATGCTGATAAGAGACACATAAACATTCACTCCCAGCAAACATTTAATTGTAAAGTGTCTTGAGCAAACTACTAGAGTCTAAAGGTAGGAAGTTGTGGTTAACTTCTCTGCTATCTTAACCCTTTAGTCAATCCACCAGAACAGACACAGAAGATGGATGCTCTTTTTTTACAAATGAAACAGAAATTATTGTTCTCTAAAAGAATGGACTTAATAACATGGTTTATAATACAGCAAATAAATCTGGAAGTGAAATACTTACCCATTTTCTGGGTCGGCCTCTGGGTCGCTTTTCACCAGCGGCTTCTGCTCCCTGTAAAGGGAAAAGAAACACAGCATATTTTATACCTCAGCATTACTTAACAGCCTTGGTAACTAGGAATTCCTTTCCTGTAACATTAGCTACAATTATATCTCTTGGGTGGCACCAGGTCTCCTGCCTAATCTATGTGTTTTCTGGTAGAATGTGATTATGTTGGTTTTTCTGACATTTCTTAGCCAGTGTGACCAGGTGATGCCTCACCAGCGCCCAAGGGTTCCTTCCCCCAGCCCTAATCCACACCGTGTGGAAGGGCATGGAGGAGTGTGGCCACACACACACAGCTGCTCAGTGCCCACAGTAGAGCCTGGGGTGCCTGGGCCTAGGCCAGCCATGGAATGTGCAGGCTGAGGATGGGGACGCAGGGCAGTCTGGAAACCTGAGAAACTCCAGAAACATCAAATCTAATCTTTCACAGGCTATCCAAAAGTACTTGAAGTTACTAAATTAAAAATACTGCCTGTTTCAAGCCTGGTCAAAGCAGTTTATAGCAGCTATAATTCCTTTTTTAGTCTCATTATGTTCACGCATGAAATGGATTAGGACAGAATATCACCATGAACATGTCTGTGTTATTAGTGGGGAATAACTTCTCTACTTTTCACTTGAAGTTTTCCAGGTAAAAGCACATCCTTAAGCTGTAAGTAAAACTTTTACCGTCCAAAACACATCTTTCCTTTCCAGGTTTAAGGAAACGGCATGCAAGGGGCCCTAAAAGTGACAGCTGTATTTATGGAAGCCCAGCGCTTGTTCCTAGAGCTCAGCGTAAAGAAAAAAGTCCTCTTACAGTCTCTTCCATTAATTTACTGTCTGGCATTGAGAATAGTACTACTAATACTAGTACTTATGCACTACACTAAAATGCATACAGAGTTTAAAATGAAAAATTCAGGTTATTTTCTCTGGATAAGCAATGCCCATCCATGCACTCCACCAGGTAAATAATCCTGTTCCACTGAGAGTGATGAGGATTTTGCCACTACCTTTAGTCAGGGCAGAATTTGCCACGTACGAAGTCCTCAAGAATGAAGACTTCTAGTACACGTGAATTGCTTTTCTTTTTCTCCAGTTAACTGTATGTGTATTTGATTTGCCCTTAGAAATCAACTGTGCCATTAAATAAATCACTTGCTGGTCAATCTCTGTAACATATACTGTAACCTAATGCTGTGTAAATTGGATCTCTCTAAAAGAGAACCTGAGCTGAGGAACCAGTGGAGGAATCTCTACAAAAAAATTGCCCTGTGAGTTAAACACAATTACTTTGAAATAAATACCTTGCCAATAAGAAAACTGTGAAAAATAAAATTCACACTCCTAAAGGGCAAAATTATCACTCAGACTTGTTAAAAGAGTAAACTTGAGCTTTAATCGTTTATACCAGTGTTACATGTAAGGTGAAACCCTCTTATGAGAATACTTGTTAAAGTGCATTTACTATATCCTGTAGCTGTCTATTTCAGAGTTTTGTTTCCTTTAAGTGTTCGTTTCTTTATACCTTGTAACACGATGGATGCAAAAAAAAAGATGTGATTTAGTTT